GCCTTGGCCTCCCAGAGTGCTAGGATTACAGGCGTGAGCCACTGCGCCCGGCCTGCCTGTCTTTTTTATAACAGCCATTTTAACTGAGGTGAACTGATATCTCACTGTAGTTTTGACTTGCATTTCTCTGATGATTGGTAATGTTGAACATTTTCATGTGACCGTTGGCCATTTGTTTGTCTTCTTTTGAGAAGTGTCTATTCAGATCTTTTGCCCAATTTTTAATTGGATTATTTACGGATTTTTTTTTTCCTTTTTGAGTTGTTCAAGCTCCTCGTATTTTCTGGTTATTAATCCATTGTCAGATGGGTTGTTTGCAAATATCATCTCCCATTCTGTGGGTTGTCTCTTCACTTTGTTGATTGTTTTCCTTGCTGTGCAGAAGCTTTTTAGCTTGATGTAATCCCATTTGTCTATTTTTGCTTTGGTTTCCTGTGCTTTTGAGGTCTTACACAAGGAAATTTTCGCCCAGACCAATGTCCTAGAGTGTTTCCCTAATGTTTTCTTCTAGTAATTTCATGGTTTGAAGTCTTAGAGTCTTGAATCCATTTTGATTTGATTTTTGTGTATAGTGAGATATAGGGGTCTAGTTTCATTGTTCTGCATATGGTTACCCAGTTTTCCCAGCACCCTTTATTGAAGAGACTGCCCTTTCCTTACTGTATATTCTTGGTGCCTTTGTTGAAGATGAGTTGACTGTAAGTGCATGGATTTATGTCCGGGTTCTCTGTTCTGTTCCATCGGGTCTATGTGTTTGTTTTTATCCCAGTACCATGCCAATTTGGTTATTATAGCTTTGTAGTAAATTTTGAAGTCAGATAGTGTTATGCCTCCAGCTCTGTTCTTTTCGCTCAGGATTGCTCTGGCTATTCAGGGTCTTCTGTGGTTCCATGTAAATTTTACGATTCTTTTTGTTTTTACTGAGAAGACTGGAAATTGGTATTTCAATAAGGATTACATTGAATCTGTAAGTTGCTTTGAGTAGCATTGTCATCTTAATAATATTAATTCTTCCAAATCATAAGCATGGAATATCTTTCCATTTTTTGTGTATATGTGTATTCTTCAATTTCTTTCATCAGTGTTTTATAGTTTCCCTTGTATAGATCTTTCATTTCTTTGATTAAACTAATTTCTATGTATTTTATATTCTTTAAAGCTATTATAAATGAGATCACTTTCTTGATTTCTTTTTCAGATTGTTCACTGTGGGCATGTATCAACACTACTGATTTCTGTATGTTGACTTTGCATCCTGCATCTTTACTGAATTTATCAGTTCTATCAGGTTTTTTGGTGTAGTCTTTAGGTTTTTCTAAGTAGAAAATCATGTCATCTACAAACACTGATTTGAGTTCTTCCTTTCCAATTTGGATACCTTTTATTTCTTTCTCTTGCTCTGGCCAGGATGTCCAGTACTATATTAAAGTGGTGAAAGTGGGCATCTTTGTCTTGTTCCAGATCTTAGAAAAAAGGCCTTCAATTTTTTCCCATTCAGTACAATGTTAGTTTTGTTAGTAGATTTATCATATGTGGTCCTTATTATTCTGAGTATACCTAATTTGTTGAGGTTTTATTATGAAAGGATATTAAATTTTGTGAAATGTTTCTTCTGCATTTATTGAGATGATCATATGATTTTGTTATTCTGTTCATGTGGTGTATCACATTTAGATTTGCATATGTTGAACCATCCTTGCATCTCAAGAATCAATCCCACTTGATCCATAGTGCTACAGTTTGAATGTATCTCTTGAAAAACATGTATTGGAAACTTAATCCCAGATGCAAGTGTTGGAAGGCAGGGCCTAACGGGAGATGTTTAGGTCATGAGGGCTCCACCCTCACAAGTGGATTAATACTGATTATAAAAGGGTTTGAGACTGCAAATTCAATCTCTTTCTCTCTTGCCCTTTTGTCATACAATGACACAGCAAGGACCTTTGACTTCTCAGCCTACAGAATTGAGACATTTCTGTTCACTATTAATTATATAAAACTGTACAAAAGGGAACTAGTCTACAGTGACAAAAAGCAGATCAGCGATTGTCTGGGAGTCGACAGGAGGGATTACAAAGGGGCAGGGAAAAACTTGGGGATGAGGGCTATCTTCATTACCTTAATTGTGATAGCTTCATGTATGTCAAAACTTATCAAATTATACTTTATGTAGTCTATTTTATGTCAATTTTACTTCAATAAACCAGTTTAAAAAATTTAAAAGTGAGTCTGTTAATCTTATTGGAGTTTTTACTCCGTTAGACAGGATACACCCACAAATCTAAGATAAATCCTCTACCTCAGGTTTTTTAGATGAAGGGCAAAGCCCTTAAGCTTCTTTGAGGCCCTACTGATAGGATCTGTGAGGTCCACCCTTAAATCTTTAGTGCCTTTTGCCTGAATTCTACAATTTTTCCATATTCATAATTGAATCTAAAACATATTTAACTTTGAAATTAAGAAATAAAAATGTCTTTGTCCTGGGCTCTTTTTACTAGATGCCTGATTTCAACCAAGATAGCATCTTACTCTACACATTTTTAATCTTTCTAGTATTTTTTGGTTTTATAGTACTCCTGTATTGAATCATCTTTAGATGCTTATTTCAAGACCAACCTCCACAACTACTAAATTAAGCTATTGGGAGTAAGAAGGAAACTGGGATCAGGGTGAAGCCCAGGAATCTCACAAGCTCCCAGAAGAATCCACACATAGATCCATTCAATGACTTCACACAAACAAATGCAGTCTACTGTAGTTTCCTAATTCAGTTGTTTCTAGGATTAAGATGTTTATAAAAACAAAAGGCATACATTATTTATTAAGCTCATAACAATTTTATTAATAGGAACAAAATTTATTTTTATATATACATACAAAAGACATTTATTTTCTTACTTTGACACATAAAAATACAAAATTATTTACATGTATACAAAAATATTAAAACACAGACATGAGAAAAAAGGAAAAAAAGTGAATTTTACAAAGGATACTTTCTTGGGAGATATACACAATGAAAAAGGTTTAAGAAAGGAGACAAAACATTTAAATACTCCAGAAATTGATATTTCCATTGGTATTAATTTGATAAGACAAATAAAATGTCTCAAATGCCAATAAATGGTAAACCAGATTTATATCTAAGATTGTCTAGGTAAAATTACATAGCCCTCTTTCACCATAAAATTGAATCAGTTTACCCCTGTGTCACAAATATCAGACTACTACTTTCTTTTCCTTTTTTATTTAAAACATTTAAATTTTCTGATTTGTACTGAGAATTTTAAACTTTTTCACATTAAATTGTAAAATATTTTAAGAGGCCGTATATCCTCTGTGTCCACTGGGAAAAATATTTCAATGTAAAATTGAAAATCACATTTTTTTTTTTTAGTTAAAACCTAATATTTTCTAACTAATGTTCATGATCAGTAACAACTTGATTTAATAAGAGATCACAATCTTCGTAAATTCTTTTTGCTTTTTTTTGTACCAGGCAAGGGACCTGTTTTACAACTGGCTTTTAGGAGCTTGCCATTTGAACAGTCTTTGGTGGTATGATAATTACACAGACACCTTGTACAATAATCAAATCCACAGCCTTCTCGTTTACACGTTGCCCGTTGTAAATAGCAATCATATTTTGCAGGTGAATTACAACGAATACAGGCCTTGAGGCTTTCATTCTTTTTCAAAGTCTTGGCAACCTAAAAAGAAAAAATACATAAATATAGTTTATTAAGGACTGAATGTAACTGGTTAGTAAAACTAAGAAGGGCACCTCTGCACTTTCCCCAATACATGTATGAGGCACCGCTGTCAGATGTAA